AGCAGCATATCGAAATCCCATAGCACCGGCTGTTCTGATTTTACTCCAGTAGAAATGTGTGTGTGTGTGTGTGTGTGTGTGTATATATACAGAGAGAGAGACATGCACACTACATAAAAAAATTAAAATAGCTCTTGAAACAAATTAAAGTCTAGTTATTTAGCCCCAAGAAAACATGCTGCTGGCTTCAGCACTTGTTAATAAAATTCTAGTTTAAGAAGGAAACAGAAGCCTATAATCATCTGGGGCCATTCAACACCCCAAAAGCTCAGATCCCATCTCAGTTTTCCCCGTTCCCTGTCTTGGGTTGTTTTAATTAAGTTATGCTTTCAAGTCACCTGTCATTCTCTTTGGGAAAAAGTATAAGCCACTACATTACCAGCTCTCTGATCTACCTCGTTCACCGATTCAAATGTGTCCTTCTTCTTCCTAAGCACTTCATTCCTGGATTCTGTGGGAGAAGGGATGCCGGCAGTGCAGCCCCCCCAGACACCCCCCGTGCTCGGGCTGGCTCCCAGTGCCCACACTTACTGCCGCCCACCCTCGTGCCCACAGGCACAGCCATCACCTTTGCATCACATTCACCTTCCCTTGCTGACTCACGTGTACCTCATAATCCTGATTTCCCTACTTTTGAGTGGTTTACATAGGAGTGTGATTCACGAGATGCCCTTTTGTCATCTCCCCTCACCCTCCTTGCGCATCCTCCACATCTTCTTTATCTCAATAGAGGGCTGCAGGAGCCAGCACAGTACCTACCATCCAAACCAGATTTACATTTCTCTCCACCTTAGCTGTTCTTCCTTAATAACTCTGCACAGCAGTTTTGGGCATGACAACAAAAGAAAAACAAAAGTGTAGATGTTATAAAAGCTGAAGTGTTAGCAGAAATTATTTCAGTTTATAACATAGCTGAGGTTTGTGAAGGTGCTCAGGCATCAAGACGTTTACGACTATCTAAGCTTAAACAGATAAATTTAGATGTTGGCATTTATAATCTTTCATAGTAAAGTGATGATATTGTTTAATCAAGAGGCCAAAATGAATTTAAAGTTGTCCCATTTTCTTCTCTTTGGGCCTTTTTAATAATTCAGCATAGAGCCCAGTAGGTAATAGGTTGCAAAAGATGGATGGAAAACTAGATATTCATGTTGAATATATTCTTCATGAAAGGTAGGTGAGAAATTAAGATTAAAAACGCTCCTGTCTTCAGCAGAAACAAGCCTAATCTTTTCATTTTTAACTTACCTTGTATTTATGAGACATCAGCTACAGACAGTAAAGGAAATTGCAGCATTCGCTTAAAAGCAGCGTTAGCAAGTTCTGACAGCTTGTTAAAAGCCATGACGGAAGGCAGGGTGAGGCACATCGATCACCTGTGACAAGGACCTTATGGAGCTTGGCCTGGGCTTATCCTTGGTCATTGCTCTGAGGCGAGTCGTGTGGCTCACAGTGGGCCGTTTCACATTCACTGGTACGTGTTCTTTAAACTGCCCAAGGGCTTTAAATGTTGGCTACTCATTAAAAATAAACACAGTTATGTCCTACGACTCTATGTCCTCCCACAGTTCAAGCCTGACTTCACTTGCAATATGGATTTTCCAGCACTTACAGTCCATTTTCTTGCCAGATAATGGAAGTAAAGTACCCAAAGCAATGGAGCCAGTAGAAGGTAAAGTCCATAACAGTGAAATCACAAGATCATATTCCATCCTGGGATGCTCTAGAATGAAACATGGCTTTGAACACTAACTGAGTCTGAGAGATTTGGATTTCTAAGTATAATTACCATCCATGAGCATAGCCCAAGATTTACATTTCATCATATATTCCTAAAATGTCCTTTTCATGTGTGGCACGTTGTGGAAATATATATCTCTGGAGATTATCTGGACCAACCTACTGCTGAAAGCAAGGCCTTAGATTAGGTTATTCAGGTCCATGTAAAGCCAAGTCTTGAATACTTGGATTTTAACATGAATTAGTATGACTCATACTATAAGTGGAGTCATCATTACTTTTCTGAAATCACACAAAAAATTAGAAAAAGGACACTCCAAAGAGGCCATGACTCAACTGGCCCTATAGGAAACAGCAAACCTGGCGCAAGTACCTGTAAAGCAGAGAAATATTTGGGTGCTCGTTCCACTTCAGATCCTAATAAGGCAGCCTGTACATCCTGGAAACTACATTTACAGATTTCATACAGAAAAGTCTAGCCTTGAAAGTAATTTTTCTTTTTTTTTTTTTTTCGCCATGGTGATGTTATTACCACTTGTATTTCTGCTGGCAGGAAGCTATTACCTACAGCTGCAAGCTAATACAAACTCAAACTTTCTGGGTCATCAGAAATGTGACAGACAAAGTGCTCTCCCCAGTTCCTTCATCCATAAGATAACTACGTTAAAGTATTAACATGGTGTCAAAAGTTATTCGCTGCCCCTTCTTTGCTAGTTTTTCCATCTTTTTAAACATTTAATTTCACAAACATGTCATTGCATAAACATATAGCAGACCAAAGCTTAACGTGAATGGATTTGAGCTAGTAAACTTTGGAGGAAAAAATACCTGAAAGAATTGGGAATCTGTAATGGTATAAAGGACTTTGCTGATGGGGTAGTTACTTCGCTGTGCTCGTAAAGCAGCATCTTGCAATTCAGATCTTGTGATATTCAGTTGTGTATGCAGAAGTGCCACAGCAAAAAGCAGGAAGGCAACAGTGTCCCATCATATCTTTCTTTAGATAATTAAAAGTAGTCCAGGAAAAAAAAAAAAAAAAAAAACAAAACCAAACACCACCTTATAACAGGTTGTAGGACTGTACCAGATTTGCACCAGAATGCAGTATTGGACCTAAGAGATCACGTCTCTCCATCACTTCACCCATTTTTGGAACTAAAGGGAACTCACTTTTTCATTTTCTCCCAGGTTAAAATCACACCAATTGCCTTTCATTTTAATGAGCAGTGCAGATGTCTCATGCATTTTACTAGGTTTCTTACAATTTGTCACATTTAATGGCTGACGGTTATGCAAGAGCTCATTACTTTGGGGATCCTGGTGAGAAAGACTGCTGTTTTGAAGCATTATTCTGGCTGTTTCTACAAATTTCACACAGGAAAGTTGTAGTAAGCTGATAAACACCTTCTTATGCATTACAAAGGGTCTGGTCAAGAGAAATATATATCTTTTCATTCTACATTATTGTTTACACAAAAGGTGGAAGCAGTTAAAAAGGTAACATTTCCCATGTTTATTTACACCTGTATTCTTGTGTACACAAATGGTGGAAGTAATTTTTCAAAAACCAGTATTTCTCAGCTGGTTACCTCACTTATTTCCTCTTTTCAGTAAAACTGTAGAACCATGAGCAGTGTCCTATTTCACTTTCTAATTATTTCTAGTAAAAGCGATTCTTTCATGGCCACCACTGTACTACAGTTGTGTGTATCAATATTATTGCAGTCCTTGTTTCTGTGGTATATCACAGAAAGGCCTTAGAAGGTGTTGAACAAAGCCTTGAATACATAGTACTTCCTATGGAAACTTCAGGAGGACATCGTTATTTGAAATTAGGATGGTGTGCAATGAAGTCCAAAGCTGAAACGCTTAATTTGCTGGTGTCAGTCAGTGGACGGTCCTCACCAAACCTCATCCCTTCACATTTCTCCCCCCCAACCCTTTAGCCCCGGTTGGCATCTTCCCTCTCCTGCTCCCCACTGTGCCATCTCCCCTTCAACAACAGATGACCTAGATTACAACTATAAACATAAAAAATATTTTATCCCAGGCTTTCTTCAGCAGCCAGCCTGAGGGGTGCTTCACCCTGTGGACCCACGCAGCTTTCATTTAAGGGCCTGACTCTGGAATTACTGACACTGCCGGCTTCTCTGTGGAAAATCCTGGCTCTGTTGATAATTAGGTTAAAGCAGGAGGCGTCTGAATAAAGCAGTGCTTTCTCACCGTTTGCACCTTGATAACTGCAAAAGCAGTCCCACTGATTTGAGGCGTGGGAAAGCGAGTGCAGCAGCAACAGCAAGGTGCAAAGGGATGGTGCAGCCTGGGTTTGGTACCTTGTCCGGCCCATGAGACAGCATGCCGCTTCTCATCTTTCTCTTTTTTGCCCTTCGCACACCGGGTAGATGAAGGCACAAATGAATCTTGGGAAGTAGCTTATGTTCATATACTGACTCTTAGATCAAAAAGGCCATACAGGAACAGGGTAATTGCAATTAAACGTAGCCCAAGGTCGCAGGATACATGGGGGGTAAGTTTTAACTTTAGTGCCTTTGGTAAAAACCAGACTCACTCATTGACATTCTTCCCATCCGCACTCCCTTCCCGGAGAGTCAATAAACTCAGCTGTGGTTGTTCAAGTGCTCTGTAAAATCCTGCGACAGCCCAGTGCAGCAGAAGCTATACCACTCTGGGCATGAAGCAGTCCCCACGGTACCTTTCCCTGAGAGCAATGCTGCGAAGAAAATTTTGTGTTTGCAAAATGCTTGGAGATGTTTGAAACGGATGCGTTAAGGCTTTGCAAACCATTCACCTGGAGCCATTAGTTATAAAAGCCCGGGCTTATTACTATGGTCTTCTAAATAAAAGTTGAAAACAAGATCATTTTTAATTGTAAATTAAATTCTTAATCTCACACCTTGAAATTCAGCCCTCATACAAAGAAAGACGTAATTCAGGGGCTAAGTACTTGCATGTTGCTAGGATGAAAAAAAAAATTACAGTTATAAATGGTTAAAAATAGGGCTTTAATGCAGAAAACACAGGCAGAGTTTTTCTGTCACCTGATGAGCAGCATGCATCACTAGCATGGCAAATATATTCATGGTAGTCCTGGAACTGAAAACGCCTGGGTTGTGCTCTGACTCACTGTGCCTTTGCAGAAGCAAGGATTACTGTTATCTGCTCACATAAAACCGGTGTGGTGGGTCTGTTCCAACCTGAACCCCTGCTCCACCAGACTGAGGTTTACGGAAATTACTTACCTGCCTCATCACTTGAATTAGGAAGCTGGAGAGAAAATGTAGTGTCATAGCTGTCAGATTGCTTATCATCATCTTTCTTTGTTGTTACCACGTTATTAGGTTGTCTAGGTATATCCACAAACGCTGGAAGTTCAGAGATAAAGACACTTTGCAAAGGGTATTTTCTACCCAAATAGCTTTCATTTGTTTTCTCTTTATTAATTACATTATTTTCTGTTAAGTCTGCACTCAAGTTTGATTCAAGTGGAGTCTTGTTTTCCCCTAGGAGCTTTGTTTGAAATATCGCCTCTATTGGCTGTCCATTAGCTATGCCATCTACTCCATCTGCTGTTAATCTAGACAAACTGCAATTTATATTGAACGACAACGCTGATCTATGAATTTTTTGGCATTTAATTTGAGGTTGGTCAATGCACACATTGAGTGACTTGTCTAAATAATAGATGGTATTTGGACACTGCTGAGAAACCTGAAGGTGGATGCATGAGATGAAAGAACGTGGTACTTTCTCTCGCCCATCGCTGCTTTGAAGACCCACGTCGTTCTCTTTGTTTCCAGGGTCAAAAAGCTGCTTTCGTGGTTTTTTACCTAATTGTGAGCAAGGTTCAGAAATCTTTAATGGAGAGGCGTGTTGGTTTGCGTGGCCTAGAGGAGGGCAGCGATGGAGGGCAGCAGGGACTTTGCTCCAGGTTGGGGACACGGCGTTGGGCTCTTGCACAGCCCCAGGTCCACGTGCTGGGTTGTCGGAGCCTACAGCAACACGCCTTGCCGTAATAGTTATGGAGGCAAACCCTTTCTGCTGGTTTTGACACTGTTTTTCCTCTGCAACGGGAAAGTCCGATGGAGACGTGGTGTCATCTAAAGATGCCTGAATTTCTAATCTGCTGGGAAGTACCGTGACTGCTCTGTTAATGTTGACTGAACTGCAGTTAGCCAAAGACTGCTTCGTGTGATGAGCACTGGGCTGGAGGATCATGGACCGCCTAGGCAAAGCGGGCCAATTTTCTTTTGATTTATTCTCATCAATCATTTGTGAAATGACTGTCGGTGAAATCAATGTTGTATTTTGTGATGACAGAGATTCCTGCAAATGGAGAGATTCACATTATCCACATACTCTGTCATAATATATGTAACCATTTCTCATCTACCATCTATCACACCAGACAGTTTTGTTTGAGATTTCTTGTTAACTTCCTATACATATAACTTCTTTGTCATTTAAAAATACACGTTCTTGAAATCAGCTCTGAATTGTCTGGGAGACTTCAATGAAAACCTTATCATTCTGGTGCAAAAAAAAAAAATATTAAAATTAAAAAAGTGTAATTCTATACTATTATTTTCAGTATTTAACCCACCATCGCAGTTGGGATTTGTGGCTGCTACGTTTGTTTAAAAATAGACATGTCAAAGGCAATTGCCAGTTTCAGACTCTAAACTGCTCTTTCATGATGGTCTGCTGGAATTTAGAATGCATTTAAATATATTATGGATCATTAGCCTGAAGGTCCACGCGTGCCATCACATGCTGCAGAGGGCATGTGGACACCAGGGTCGTGACTGCTCTACAGTCTCACCAGTTATAAGCATGGAAAAACTTCTCCATGATCCCTCCCACAAAAACAATGTAATTACCTGTAAGGGCTTCAGGTATTATTTTAATTCATTAATTCTCTCTTGCTTATCATTACTCGGTGGCACCTATCAATGATGTAAAACCACATATGTCCAAGATTGATTACCAGTGGCACAGATTCATTTTTCCAACCATGACAGCAAACATCTATCTTGCTAGATCATACATTATTTCACTCATGTGTGATGTGACAAAGGAGGTGTTTTTACATTAAATCTATCCGACAAAGAGTAAACCTGAATTTAAAACTCCTGCTATTATATGCACACGGCTGGTCACGTAAGTCACATGCAATAAAGCATCTGGCCTAATCTTATTGCTGCTGTAAACTGGCTGATTAGATTGCATCTGCCCTATGTTCCTAGATCTCCTGATCCTAACAGAAAAACAAACAAACAAACCAACCTGAATTGGCATGCAAAATCTGAGGATTAGCTTCATAATTAAAGCTCGTCCAAGTTCATTTGGGGTTTAGGTGCCATTTGCTAGCTGTGCTGCTCCTGCTTGTTATGAATTCATCTCAGCCATATCTGGGCATCTATCATCTGATAATCAATGCCAGTACTTGACAAGTACTTGAACATAACGTTCTTCTTCCTCAAGGAAGAGTGTGTGAGTGACAGAGCTGTGACCTCCGGGTGCCATGGCCATCCTTCTCAGGGCTTGGGTCCCAGAGTCGGGACACCATGCCGAAGCCCATGGGGAAAACCATTCCTGTGCTCCTGTCCTCCACGTGTGAAAACAACACACAAAATGAGCTCTTTGTAACCCTTGGGAAGGCTGATTTGGGAACCCAAATAGGTAGAGGTAGATTAAGAGTTTATTAACGAGATGAAATGCCAAGTAAATTTTATCAGCTCTTTAAACCAGCTGCCTGTAATTTTGACAATTCAATAATTTCACAGCCCCAGGGAGAGCATTTTCTTCTTTCTTTGTTTCCTTCATGGTTTGTAACAACATTTGCCTCATATTTTCTGCGCTGCATTTACTTCTAACTACAGGTTTAAGACCTTTGCATGCCTCCCAAAACTCTCGCCTTCCCCAAGATTTCTACAGGGCATCAAATAATACTCTTTGAAATACTTTATTTTGGATGCATCTCTCATGCTCCAGTAGTTAATTTTACATTTATTTCTTTTGTTAAGGGCTGCACAGATAGAGATATCCTGCAAGAGTCCAAACGCATGTCAAAAATGCTCCTGATTAGCTTCAAACTCATGCACCAATATTTTAAATAATTTACTTTTCCTTTTTCTGCTTGAGTATATGTATTATTCCTTTCTCCCAATTTTTGGCAAAGAAATGGATCTTTAAGGTTTGACCAGCTGATCCCATGCTCATTGGGAGCTTTCAAGTTTCACTGCATCTTGTGCAAAAAATACGCACTTACTTACACAAAGTAATTGTGGTGAACTGAAAACCTCAGGCTTTATCTTGAGAACATCTGAGACAGAGTATACTGCCATTTGGGATACCACTTCATTTAGTCTCCTGGGGTGTTTTTAACAACTTTTTTTCCCCCCACAAAACATGTAATTTTTTCCCCCCTCGCCAAGAGCAAACAGAATCACAACATTTAGCCATCATTTTATTTGGTTTTTCTGCTGTTAAAGCTATGCCTAGCTAAACAAAACCAAGTCCAAATAGACTGCTCAGCAATCAGTGATTGTTTTTTAAACCTGAATGCATTCTTCTGACTGCTATCTAAACATAATTTATTTATTTTACCTTGATAGAGCTTAGTTTTCTCTTTGCAGCACTCGCCTGCTGAAGGCTTGTGCATGTCCTCTGACTGTCAGTGCCCCATTGCTTTTGTGTCACTCCTGGGGAAAAAAACGCAGACAAAATAACATTATTTTCAGTGTCCTGGAGAAGATAAGTTAGAAAATGTGGTTTTAAATTAAGTGCAAGCAGGAGGGAAATAGCTACTGTAAACGATCTGATTGCCCTGGGATCTGGTTATCAGAGGGATCCTATTTCTCCCTCTTCCCAGGAGAGGCACCTGAAACACCCCGGGATCCTGTTGCAAAGATGTGTTTGTGGACAGTCTCACAATACGTTCAGGGCTGATCCAAACCTTGAATATCTCTGCTTTTGATTTCCATGGCTTCAGGTGTGAGTGTGGAGGAATCAGGGAAGATGGGAAATGTGGATTTCAACAAAAGTCACTTTTGACGTAGTCTGAAGAACCAGGAGCACAAATGAGCACGTTAATGGGCTGGATGCTGTGAGTTTGGTTTCATTTGGACTAAGTCACCTTCACATTTAAAGAACTACAGAAACTTTAAATCATATTCACAAATTCTATTACATCATAACTTTTCTAGTTCAGTGATAACTGTTACATCAGTACATCAGTCTCTGATTTTGTCATCTTTTGTTTTCTGTGAGTGTTAGCCTGTCTGCAGCTTTTTACACAGAGCTAATTTCCATATAAGATGGAGTCTGGGCTATTGCAAGAACGCATCATGTCTGCTGTCAAGTTTTGCCAGAAATTACGTTACTTTCTATTTTGCAATAAGCATCCAAACTTAATTTTCAAAAATTCTCTATTTGGACTGAAATCTCTTGACATTACTGGCTATTGCTTTATAGCAACAAGTCACACCACTGGTAAGACCTTTTGAATTATTTTTTTTTCTTTCATTTAGGTAGTCTGCCACAGAAGTTGATAATTTTTCACTGAGCGGAATTTCAGTTTACGTGTAACATTATATTAACAAAGGAACATAGAAGAGCTCCACTTTAAGAAGTGCTCATTAAAGCATATCCACCATAGCAGGCTTCAGGGCTTCATTTCCTTGGGTGCAGCTAAGGAGTAGAAGGGGAAGAAGGGGAAGGTATCAGGTCTATCCCCCCTCGAGAGATCTCCCTGAGTCCCACCGTGGAACAGCAATCGCAAAACGCTAGCAGGATGTTTGATGAACCTTCTGCTTTAATAAAGTATACTAAAGTATACTTTAATACTTTACTGACACAGCTCCAAGATACTAATGCCACTATGTATGTTCATAGCTTGAATGAAAAAACGACGTTTGCTTTTGTCATTGAGCAACAGAAAGTCCCAAACAAGAGAGAAAACAGCCAGAGCAGAGGGTCCACTACATATTTTTTGGCAAAGAAATAATGCACGGTTGCAATCAGTGAAAATGCAATGAATCTGATCTAGCACTGGGTCATGGTAACTGCTGGCGCAAAACATGGGCGAGATGCCCTTGCAGCCTGCTCCTCACCCTGTTGGGGTACGCAGTGAGAAGGAGGTGCTGCACTTCCAGGGAAGGACAAAATCCACCTGCATCCACAAGCAGTGGGATAGGGGTCAGTGCTGGGTGAGCCTTATGGAAAGGTTGGTTTTGGTTTATCAATACTTTGGTAAATTACATGTGAATACCTTCATGATGAAGAGGTGCTACGTATGCTATCTTATTTACTTTTTGAAACAACTAAACAGGGAATAACTTGCAGAGAAGGATAAAGAAGAAATTATTGGATTGAGTTAAGGCAAGACCTCAAAAAATCCAAAAGTTTCATTAAAAAAAAAAAGTAATTAAAGTGACAACTTCCACTAAGTTATCAACATTTTCCTCAAATGCTTTACAGTAAGAAAACCACAGTTTTCTCAGATCGAGATGGAAAGTTACAACAGGAGAACATCAACTTGTGAATGTCAACCAGTGTGCAGGGAAACCCAGAAGGCTGGCCAGAGATAAATCACAACCAGACGGGCATGTTTGGCCAGATGGCCTTTCATGAATTCAAATGTGTTTTCAGCACAAGACTGAGTACTACAGGGTCAAACAGGAATAAGTTGTCAAAGTCCACACCGTAGATTACATATAATATGTAAGTTATTCTTATCGAAGTAACCTCCTGTGAGTAGCAATAATCTGTAGGTAGGGCCTTCCAATTTCCCACAGACCCCTTGGAATAGATTGGTTAATTCTTGTTTGTCTAACTTTAAAAAGTAGCTGTTTCTGGAGCAGGAGAGATAGGAAGAAGTGAGGTGGGAAGAAGAAGAGGAGGAAATATTTATTTTCTTTGCTAAATTATCCAGAGTGGAGTTTTGTATTGCATTTTGTACCATATCCTCTGCAATGACATTCTCCTATTATTACAGGAATCTTGTTGTTGGAAAACACTCAAACTTTTGGCAAATCATTTAATCTAGTTGCTGAGATAGATTAAATGGCATTGGTGGCAAAATCTCTGCTATTTTTCATGAAACTATTAAATCTATTTTTGGAAGCTTCATATTTGTTAATTCATGTGGACAGAACAAGTGAAAAAAAACAACAAAAAAACCCCAAACCTTTAAAAAGAGCTTGAATCTGTGTTTGAAACGAAGACACTTCAGGGAGCACAAGGGCTTAGATGAGATGATGTCCCATACAGAGTTTTCGTACAAATTGTCACTGCCGACAAAACACATTGCACTGTAACTCTTGTTACACAACGAAACGCAAAGTTCAGTTTTTCCCTGGTGTGAAAGCATGAAAGAAATGGCATTTCAAGTACTTTCCAACTCTGTGGGGAGTATGAGAAACTTATTTCTACCCGAGTTGAAATCCCGAGGATTTGTTTAACCTCCCCAGACCTTCCCTTCCCACCGTGACCCACCTCTCCAGCTTACAATGAGGAGTAGAGGAGCAATTGCTGGCATATGAACTTTGTCCTATTACATCTTCACTATTTTTATTTTTTTTCCTCACAAATACTGTTTGTTGAACCAAACGATACACTCCTTGGCAAGGCATCTGGACATCCGGCTACAGACCAGGGTTTTCCTAATTACGGAGTGCAGCTGGAACCAATTCTCCCAGTCTCGAGTGCCTGGATGTCTGCCTCGGGCCAACTGGCAGCCAGCTCAGATAATGATTCAGAAAAGATGTACTTGTAAATCAGCTTGCTAAAACACAGATAGATTGCAAAGGTGAGGGTGCTGGTGAAAAATAGCGTACCATGAATATTTGGCATGCACATGACAGCCCAGTTTGTGGCCAGCTGAGTTTTTGTACAAAACTTGAGACACACATGAAAACAGTCCACAGATAATGTTATTTTGCCAGTGTTTCAGGTCTTTGCTAGAAACATACAGACTGCTGTGCCGGAGGGGATTGTTTGATGACACCCAGAGCGACACTGGGCAGAGCTGGAATGACTTCAGACCACTGGCCCTGGCCTCATCTCCACTTTTTGTCATGAAAGTTGCATATGTCATTCATTTACTATTCCTACGCTGACAAATTTCAAATGCGTGTCAGCACTTCTGATCTCCTCTGCTCCAAGTCTTGCTTACTCTGCACTGGCCAGGTCTGCCATCCCCTCTGAGCCACCAGCATCACCTCAGAACAAACTCCTCTGGAGGCTCCAGGAAACTCCAGCACTTCCCTCAAAACACCATAAAACGGCATTACAGAACAAATACACCGGGATGAAAAGGGGAAAACTTCTCCACTTTACCAAAAAATTACCTTTTTGTTGATCCTTAGCTCACTATCTAAGAGACCTGTGAGGAGACTCTGGCTCCCTTCCAGGTCAGTGGCAGCCAGGGTTCCTACAGCCCCCAGGTCGGCACTGCTGATTACCCAAAAATGCTCAAATTCCCCACTTGGGATCTGGGAGCTAAAGGACATCAATGGCTTGGCTGCAGGGTCAGACATCAGAGCAGTCACTCAGGTAATACAATGTCTTTGGCATCACTTAAAACTGTTTTTTTAAGCCTTTTTGTCCTTCTATGTGTTATTCCTACTGTAAGTTATCAGCAGATAAACCATATCATTAAAACCAAATTGGAGGAATTCATTTATACTTTATTCTGTTTCAAACATTAGATTTGTTTAAATTGTCTTGTGACTTTTTTAATTCAAATACCTGAGGAAGCCTCGAGGAAAAGAGTGTCATCATTAAAGATTTACCACGTTCCCTCTCAGTAAGTGTTGGGAGAGATAATAATTCACTTCTTCAGATCTGAAATGAGTCATCCAGAAAAACCATCCGGACACTACAGATACATCTAAGATGAAAGCTAAGTCAGAATGAACACCAGAACCAAAGCCGTGTCTTCTTCATGTGTCATAAAGAAAGAATATCATAAAACTGCACAGACTATCGTCATCTGAAATAAAACCGAACAATGAAGCTGAAGTTCACATGCCTGGTACTAAAAGTAGAGACGGATGAATGCTGAAAATCCCACCTTATACCAAAGTCCCTGCTGATATTAAAGTGATTTATAGGAAATCTACTGGCAAATGCTGTGTATACTTGTTAGTGGAGAGAGTGACGCATCTCCAGAAAGCCTTGGCACAGGCACAGTCTTGCCTTCCTTCAAGGACGTTATCCTGAGCCTTCAGATGTGACGTTAAGTTCAAGGAAGAGGTGAGGTGTTGCATTGACGATGACCCGAAGGCAGTATCCCAGTGAAGACGAGGCACAGGCAGGGCAGGAAGGCAGCCCTATAGCCACACGTGGACTTTACTCTCTCACAGTCTCATAAAAATACACCTGATTTTCATCTCTGCAGGATTTGACATTCAGCAACCTTCCTGTAACACTAGACAGCAGATTTCACTACGATATTTAAGGAGCACACGATGTCATCCTGATAGCTCAAACACAGCTAGAAACCACACTGTACTTACCCATCAAGAGAGGATGACAGAGGGAGAGTACATCAGTCCTTTTAAAGCATCTTTGCTGAACTTCTTATAAGAAGTAGCATGCACCTACTTACAATGGGGGTCAAACAGCAATACAGATTTAAAGGAGGGGAAAGCAGCTGCCAACTCTTTACTTGAAATCTTTCTTGTCATGAAAAAAGACA